GAGAATTCTGGATTCTGTTCACTAGCTGCCATCTGCTATGAGAGAAGGTGAAGAGAATAAGGCACAACCATAACATTACAGGGAGAATCTGTATATATACAGTTTTGTGCTGTGGGAGATAGGGAGCACTCTAAAAGGTGCCAAGGACAAATGCAATAACATTACAAGGAGAATCTGTATATTAAATTATGTGCTGTGGGAGATGTGGAGCACTTTAGAAGGTGCCAAGGACAAATGCAATAACCAAATTACAGGAAGAATCTGTATATACAGTTATGTGCTGTGGAAACAGTGGAGCACTTTAGAAGGTGCCAAGGAAAAATGCAATAACAATATTACATGGAGAATCTGTATATACAGTTATGTACTATGGAAACAGTGGAGCACTTTAGAAGGTGCCAAGGACAAATGCAATAACAATATTACATGGAGAATCTGTATATACAGTTATGTACTATGGAAACAGTGGAGCACTTTAGAAGGTGCCAAGGACAAATGCAATAACAATATTACATGGAGAATCTGTATATACAGTTATGTGCTGTGGAAGATGTGGAGCACTTTAGAAGGTGCCAAGGACGAATACAACAACATTACAAGGTAAATCTGTTTACACAGTTTTGTGCGATGGGAGTGGTGGATCACTTTAGAAGGTGCCAAAGAATCTGTTTACAGTTATGTGCGATGGGAGTGGTGGATCACTTTAGAAGGTGACAGAGAATCTGTTTACACAGTTATGTGCGATGGGAGTGGTGGATCACTTTAGAAGGTGCCAGAGAATCTGTTTACACAGTTATGTGTGATGGGAGTGGTGGATCACTTGAGAAGGTGCCAGAGAATCTGTTTACACAGTTATGTGCGATGGGAGTGGTGGATCACTTTAGAAGGTGCCAGAGAATCTGTTTACACAGTTATGTGCGATGGGAGTGGTGGATCACTTTAGAAGGTACCCGAGAATCTGTTTACACAGTTATGTGCGATGGGAGTGGTGGATCACTTAAGAAGGTGCCAGAGAATCTGTTTACACAGTTATGTGTGATGGGAGTGGTGGATCACTTTAGAAGGTGCCAGAGAATCTGTTTACACAGTTATGTGTGATGGGAGTGGTGGATCACTTTAGAAGGTGCCAGAGAATCTGTTTACACAGTTATGTGCGATGGGAGTGGTGGATCACTTTAGAAGGTGCCAGAGAATCTGTTTACACAGTTATGTGCGATGGGAGTGGTGGAACACTTTAGAAGGTGCCAGAGAATCTGTTTACACAGTTATGTGTGATGGGAGTGGTGGATCACTTTAGAAGGTACCAGAGAATCTGTTTACACAGTTATGTGTGATGGGAGTGGTGGATCACTTTAGAAGGTGCCAGAGAATCTGTTTACACAGTTATGTGCGATGGGAGTGGTGGATCACTTTAGAAGGTGCCAAGAACAAATGCAATTTTAATATTACAGGGAGAATCTGTATATAGTCCTGTGTTGTGGGAGATGGGCAGCACTTTAAAAGATACCAAAGACAAATACAATTAAATTACAGGGAGAATCTGTATATATTCATATTCTATGAGAGATGGAGAGCTCTTTAAAATGAGCCAAGGACAAAATCAACAACATTAAATGGAGAATTTGCATAGTCATGTGATGTGAGAGATGGGGTGCTTTAGAAGGTGTCAAGAAGACACTATTACAGGAAGAATTACTTTGCATGATCATGTGATGTCAGGGTTGAGGAAGGACTTTAGAAACAGCTCATGCACACACACAACATTATACACAAAATCTGTAAATGCGGTCATGTGCTGCGAGATATGGGGAGCATTTTAGAAAGTGCTGAGAGCACAGACATAACCAAAATATTATGGAGAGAATCAGTTCACAGTTGTGCTGTAAGACTGAGGTACAAAATAAAAAATAAAAACACTTGGAGCAACCAATTACAGCAAGACAGCAGCAGCTGAAAATAAACTGGAGAATTCTGGATTCTGTTCACTAGCTGCCATCTGCTATGAGAGAAGGTGAAGAGAATAAGGCACAACCATAACATTACAGGGAGAATCTGTATATACAGTTTTGTGCTGTGGGAGATAGGGAGCACTCTAAAAGGTGCCAAGGACAAATGCAATAACAACATTACAAGGAGAATCTGTATATTAAATTATGTGCTGTGGGAGATGTGGAGCACTTTAGAAGGTGCCAAGGACAAATGCAATAACCAAATTACAGGAAGAATCTGTATATACAGTTATGTACTATGGAAACTGGAGCACTTTAGAAGGTGCCAAGGAAAAATGCAATAACAATATTACATGGAGAATCTGTATATACAGTTATGTACTATGGAAACAGTGGAGCACTTTAGAAGGTGCCAAGGACAAATGCAATAACAATATTACATGGAGAATCTGTATATACAGTTATGTACTATGGAAACAGTGGAGCACTTTAGAAGGTGCCAAGGACAAATGCAATAACAATATTACATGGAGAATCTGTATATACAGTTATGTGCTGTGGAAGATGTGGAGCACTTTAGAAGGTGCCAAGGACGAATACAACAACATTACAAGGTAAATCTGTTTACACAGTTTTGTGCGATGGGAGTGGTGGATAACTTTAGAAGGTGCCAGAGAATCTGTTTACACAGTTATGTGTGATGGGAGTGGTGGATCACTTGAGAAGGTGCCAGAGAATCTGTTTACACAGTTATGTGCGATGGGAGTGGTGGATCACTTTAGAAGGTGCCAGAGAATCTGTTTACACAGTTATGTGCGATGGGAGTGGTGGATCACTTTAGAAGGTGCCAGAGAATCTGTTTACAGTTATGTGCGATGGGAGTGGTGGATCACTTTAGAAGGTGCCAGAGAATCTGTTTACAGTTATGTGCGATGGGAGTGGTGGATCACTTTAGAAGGTGACAGAGAATCTGTTTACACAGTTATGTGCGATGGGAGTGGTGGATCACTTTAGAAGGTGCCAGAGAATCTGTTTACACAGTTATGTGTGATGGGAGTGGTGGATCACTTGAGAAGGTGCCAGAGAATCTGTTTACACAGTTATGTGCGATGGGAGTGGTGGATCACTTTAGAAGGTGCCAGAGAATCTGTTTACACAGTTATGTGCGATGGGAGTGGTGGATCACTTTAGAAGGTACCCGAGAATCTGTTTACACAGTTATGTGCGATGGGAGTGGTGGATCACTTTAGAAGGTGCCAGAGAATCTGTTTACACAGTTATGTGTGATGGGAGTGGTGGATCACTTTAGAAGGTGCCAGAGAATCTGTTTACACAGTTATGTGTGATGGGAGTGGTGGATCACTTTAGAAGGTGCCAGAGAATCTGTTTACACAGTTATGTGCGATGGGAGTGGTGGATCACTTTAGAAGGTGCCAGAGAATCTGTTTACACAGTTATGTGCGATGGGAGTGGTGGAACACTTTAGAAGGTGCCAGAGAATCTGTTTACACAGTTATGTGTGATGGGAGTGGTGGATCACTTTAGAAGGTACCAGAGAATCTGTTTACACAGTTATGTGTGATGGGAGTGGTGGATCACTTTAGAAGGTGCCAGAGAATCTGTTTACACAGTTATGTGCGATGGGAGTGGTGGATCACTTTAGAAGGTGCCAAGAACAAATGCAATTTTAATATTACAGGGAGAATCTGTATATAGTCCTGTGTTGTGGGAGATGGGCAGCACTTTAAAAGATACCAAAGACAAATACAATTAAATTACAGGGAGAATCTGTATATATTCATATTCTATGAGAGATGGAGAGCTCTTTAAAATGAGCCAAGGACAAAATCAACAACATTAAATGGAGAATTTGCATAGTCATGTGATGTGAGAGATGGGATGCTTTAGAAGGTGTCAAGAAGACACTATTACAGGAAGAATTACTTTGCATGATCATGTGATGTCAGGGTTGGGGAAGGACTTTAGAAACAGCTCATGCACACACACAACATTATACACAAAATCTGTAAATGCGGTCATGTGCTGCGAGATATGGGGAGCATTTTAGAAAGTTCTGAGAGCACAGACATAACCAAAATATTATGGAGAGAATCAGTTCACAGTTGTGCTGTAAGACTGAGGGACATTTCAGGAGCTGCACAAAACAGGTAATCATAAATTGTACAGGGAAATCAGTAGACACATCCTGTGCTGGGGGAGATGTGGACAGATTTCAAGTAGGTGTTGTGAACTATTACAGGAAGAAAAACTATATGAATGTACTGTAAGAGATGGGGGAAGGACTTTAGAAAGTGTTGGGGATGGACAGTGATCACACATACAACCACAACATTGCAGAGAGAATCTGTAAACATAGTCATGTGCTGTAAGAAATGGGCAGCACTTTAATGGGTGCCAGGGACACAATTGTAACATTACAGTGGGAATCTGTAGTCAGCTGCTGTGAGACGGGTAACACTTTAAAGGGTGCCAGGGACATAAATGTAACATTACAGTGGGAATCTGTAGTCAGGTGCTGTTAGACGGGTAACACTTTAAAGGGTGCCAGGGACACAATTGTAACAATACATTGCGCATCTGTAGTCAGGTGCTGTGAGATGGGTAACACTTCAAAGGATGTCAGGGACACAACTGTATCATTACACTGGGAATCTGTAGTCAGGTGCTGTAAGATGGGAAGTACTGTAGAAGGTGTTGAGAACACACATAATCATAACATTACTGGAAGGATCAGTGTATATAGTCATGTACTGGAGGAAGACTATGTGTCAAGGGCACACACATAACCATATCATTACAGGAGAACCGGTATTCAGGGATGTGCTGTGAGACAAAAGAACACCTTAGATGTTCACCGTTTAGGTGGTTGTGGCAGCAGCTGTAGTTGTTTTGTTTAGATGCTAGTTAACAGTAGTAAAGATGAAAGGTGGAGGAAATGTAGCAGAGGCTATAGTAACAGCAGTACCAGCAACAGTAGCAGTATGAGAACCTCAGATTTCTAACAGAATTTCCTACATGATTATGTTAATTTTAAAAGTACACACTTCCTGGTTTATAGATACACAAGGATTCAAAACACTCCAAACGAAACTGAAGCTTGTCAAAGTCTTCTGGTCTGGTCAGTTTCCTCAGATGCCTCCTAAACAACCTCAGATGCATGTTCATGTTTTCTAACACATTTTTCTCCGCGGGATCTAGCAGACCACTTTCTTCTAGTGATCCCAAAATGTTGTAGTAAGACGAGATTAAGACTGTCAGAAACATCAAGAATTCTTCACAGCTGCTTCGACTTGCCATGTGTCTACAGTCTGTCCCGGTGACTTCTTTGTATCTCTGAGTGAGTGGAGCTATGTCTTTCACTTCATCACTGATCATCGCAGGATCATCCAAATCCTGAGAAATGCTCAGATCAAAGAGGGAAGATTCTTGAGAAGAACCGCTGAGAACAGCCTTCATTTCATCTGATCTGGCAAGGCCTATGGCTGTCAGGTTGTTATGAGTTTTGGTTTTGAGAAGTTTCTGACCTCCATAACGCAACAGAAGTTTGCAAACCTCAATCTTATTGTTGCAGACAGCATCATGCAAAGGGGTGAAACCATCAGGTCCTTGTGCATCAATTTCCACTTTGCTAGATGTTTGCTCCGGACTAGCTGAAGCCCCACCAGGTGCCCTAGACACATGTTTTAATAAAAGCTCCACACAAGCCACATTGCCATGATGGCAAGCTTCGTGCAAGGGAGTCCACCCGCTATAGTCCCGTAGGTTTATATCTGCCCCTGGTACCTGCAGGAGTTTGGCCAGCTCTTCAGTTTTGTTTTTCATACAGGCTATGTGAATAGAAGATTCACCTTTCCCATTTCGCTTATTCACTTTTCCAGCTGTCAAAACCCCCCTCTGTCCCTTGGGTTTTCTAACATCAAGTATTTCTTCTGATTTTTTTGATGTTTGTCCATCAAAATGTCCATGGTTGTGTGCCTCCGACTCTCCACTGGACTCCAGTGGTACTAATAACAAGAATTGTGACACTATGCTCTTCATTGATATGCAGCTGACATGAATTGGGTCTGCTAGAAGATAGTTATTATAATAAGATAACAATTTGGCTGCCACTAATAACTTCAGCCAGGCAGGCCTCAGCATGTTGACAAGTGTACTTCTAGCTTTGTCTCCAGGCTGGAAAGGAGGAACGAATTCTTTGAGCTATGTCGTGGGACAGAGTGATGACGGAATCTATGACAAATTTTGGGTTCTGATGGTCCCATTGGATATTGGCCAATCGAAGACATTCACAGGCTAAGCTCAACAAAGCACAAGCAGCATTACAAGCCCTGTAGTTCAGGAGTGGTGCTGCAATTATATATTCAAACATTTCCAGCAGACGGGGGACAGTTCTACCACGGACAATGGTAATTGAGTCTCTCCACAGCCACTTAACAATAAGACATTTCTGTAGAACAGATTTGTCCCTGCTTTTTAGAGAGAAATCAAAATTTATTTCAAACACTGAGATAAAATATTCCAACAGCAAACTTGCTGAGCTTTGTTTTGAGTCATCCATGATATCTCTGAGAATCTCAAACAGGACCGAACTCTCTGAGGAAAGTTCAAAGGCTTCAGTATAAAGTCTAACAGTTAACGGGGTTAGAGGGGGGTGCAGTTCTAGCCAGGAGTAGAGATAGTTTACTGCTTGAGGACACACATCCCCATCTGTAGAACGGGCTAGCTGTACGAGTTCTGACAACATCAAACTGGTTGGTAATCTGCTCTGTGTTGGTCTGGCATGAGAAATAGCTTGATCAAAGAAACCCATGTCTCTTGAAGACTCCATGCACTGACCATATAACACAGGCAGAAAGGACTGGCACTGTGAAGGATCTGTATTATATGGCAACCAGTACGTCAGAGGCCAAATAGGAAATGATTCTGAAGACTGTGCAGAAGTACTTGGTTCCAAGAGATTATGGTTACAGATCTTCCCCTGGATTTGCGCATGCTGCTGAACTTCAATTAGCACACACTCCTTTGCAACGCTAGGATTACAAGCCGGTGACAGTTCACCCCTAACTGCTTCACTACCTATAACGACAGCAGTAGGTAGCTCAGCGACATCTACATCTGAATGACAAACAACAGATGGTGGAGTGGGGAGATCCGTGTAATCACAACTAAGACTTTCTGCAGCTGCAGCTGTGTTTTCCAGAACATTCACTTTTCTAAACATATCACCAAAACTGTTATTGACCGTGGAAACTGTATGTATGTCAGCAGACGCAGATAACTCTGAACTCGAACCTGTGCCACTTTCAAGAACACTGTTTAAGTGAATACCATCTGAGCAGCTGGGCTCTGATATTGTGTCACCTAACAACTGATGAAATGATTCAAACAAAGACCTGTCAGAGCTGCCACATTCTTGGGAAGAATTATGTGAATCACTGCCATCTACAGATTTTCTTTTGGCCAAGCCTTGCTGCGTGTGTTTGGCAGTCTGGTGGGATGACTCAGGACTGGATAACTGAGACCACAATGATGGATTACTCATTTCAATACAAACATTAACACTAGACTGTGCACATTCAACTGCCATGGAGAATTCTGTCTCTTTATTACCAGACGGGCACTCAGAACATTCTCTGACTGTGGATTGTGATAAAATGGTATCTAATGCTGTCCTCTTGGCCAGTCCTCGCTGTGTGTGTTTAGTCCGGTGAGCTAAGTCCGTGTTAGATGACTGAAATTGCACTGATGGTCTGTTTGTTTTAGTATAATCACCGGCTGCACTTCTTACAGTACCACATGCATTAGACCCAATTATTTCAACTGTCATAGAGGATTCTCCTTCTCCAGTACCAGAAGTCCACTCAGGAGGTTCTTCCTTAACTCTGATTTCAGTACATGACAAAGTGGGCTCTAGTGTCCTCCTCTTGGCTAATCCTCGCCGTGTGTCAGCTTTTGATACTGCAATGCCTGACTGCTTTCGCTTTCTGGTACCCTTCAAAATTGTGGTGGGCTGTGCAGCTTTACTGAAAGTCAAATTTTCTTGGCTTTCACTGTCATTACCTGTGTCAACAGAAACAATTAGATATAATTTACAACAATATAGTTACTTAAAAGCTACTGTATGAAACTTTGTTCGTTCAATATTTTTGGATGTAACCATGATGGGTCTGTTAACAATTAATTCACTTTGCTTCTGGATGGAACTTCCCTGTTCATAATATTCCCCCCTCCCCCCCCCTATCTGTATTTGGATGCAACTGTATTGTGCCTGCTACCAGGAGAGCTGCTGTAATTGCCCTTTCTGGAAGACACATCTCTATAGTAACAATAGTTACAGACTGATCAGCACATTCACTGCCCACCCACCCCCCCCCCTCCCCCACCTATATGGTAACAATAGTTACAGCCCGATCAGTACATTCCCCCCTCCCTTAACCACACCTGTATAGTAACAATAGTTAGACTTATCGGTATATCCCTACCCCCACCCCCCTATCCGTATAGTAACAATAGTTACAGACTTAGTACAGTCCCTTACCCCCGTATAGTAACAGTTACATACTTATCTGTACATTTCCTGCCCCCTTTTTCTGTATAGTAACAATAGTTAGACTTATCAGTACAGTTACTGCCCCCCCCCCCCCCCCTTCTCCCCAAGTATAGTAACAGTTGCAGACTGATCAGTACATTCCCTGCCCCTCTCCCCCAACCACACCTGTATAGTAAAAATAGTTAAAGACTTATCAGTACAGTTATTCCCCTCCCACCCCTGTATTGTAACAATAGTAGCAGATTTATCAGTACAGTCACTGCCCCCCTCCCCCATCCACACCTGTAGAGTAACAATAGTTACAGGCTGATCAGTACATTCAGTGACCCCCCCCCCCCCCCCCCTCCAACCACACCTGTATAGTAGCAGACGTGTCAGTACACCCACTGCCCCCCTCCCCCGAGTCACACTTGTATAGCAACAATGGTTACAAAATGAACACCTGTATAATAAGGATGACAAACACCCGGATGGTTTGGCCATATGGCGTGGGTCAGACAGGGCACAAAACTGATCCGTAATCCAAGTGACTGTATGAAACAGCGAACCATGGCCATCTATGCTTACTGGCAAGGCACGATAATCATTATTTTATCTGGTATATAACCTCCATACCATGCCACAGTCACTATTATACATTTACAGAAACTTCTTCACTGGCTGTAAACTCCGCAAAAAATTCTGGTTGCCTGCCTATTTCTGGACTTTAGTCATGTTAAAGAATTTGAGTTTTGCATGCATATCCATTGGCTCCTCGCTTCTCAGGCAGATGCACATTTGAAGCAAACCGCAAATTAATTGGTTTTTATTACATGCCCGTAAGGGAAGAACTGGGACTATTCTTTGTTTTCCTTACAATGGGAACCCCAAAATCCACACACAGGATTGAAAGAAAGAATCCAACTCCTAAAGAGAAACTTGACGAGTTCTGAATTGTCACCCATAGGGCTTCTTGCTCAACAACTTGTTTTTACTGCCTTAACAACAAATAAAGTAAAGAACACCTTCCAGGCCTTTAGGCATGTTGGGCTAGACCCTTATTTTATAGACCAGCTGGCATGTGGTGGGTGATGTGGTCAGCATCTTGCTGGCTGCCTTTACTTCCCAGGACTCCACCCGGCACCATTCAAGGCTAGGTCCCCCTGGAAGTCAAGGTCATTTCTGAAGAATAAAAGGTCTGGTTCCACCAGGACCTAACCCACGACCTTTGGATCCGCAGGAGAGTGTCTAGTTGCTATACAATAGCAGCTCCTCCTTAACAAAATGACATTTAAACAACTTACCAAACTAAATAACTCATTATTTTCCCAGTCAATATGGTGCAGCAAACATTGCTCAGCAATGATATGTGTGCAACATTTTGAGATTTTGTTTACTAAGACTGGAATTAGTCACACAATTAACTTAAGAGCAACACATAAAATTTGTTTGCAATCTGATGAGAATGCTGAGGTACAAACAACCACAGAGTGTCAATAGCAAAATAACAGCACACAAACAATCCAAACATCTTCCCCATCACTTCTATGCGGTAAATGAAGGAAGAGAAGGAGGAAAAGGTAAAGAAAGAACACTGAGGAGGAGAAGAAGAAACAGATGATAAAGAATAAGAAGAAAAAGAAGAAGCTAGTGAAAAAGAAGACAAGGACAAGATACAGGAGGAGGAGAAAGATTAGGAGGATGAGGATAAAAAAAAAAGAAGAGAAGGAATAAGAAGAAGTAAAAAAAAAGAAGAAGAAGAAAAGAAGAAGAAAGAGGATAAAATAAAGAAGGCAGAGGAGAAGAAAAAAATGAAGATAAGGAATAAGATGAGGATAGTGAAGAAGTAGAAAAAAAAAAACACAAAAGAAGAAGAAGAAAAAGAACATAAAAAATAAGAAATAATTAACATCAGAATTGGTTACAGCAAAACAATTGGCCAAGAGAAACATCAGTGCAAGTCAAACTTTATGGGTCGCTGAGTGAATAACAAAAGACAGTGAAGTTCATACTAGAGACATCATTGCAGATATAGATAATCTATTTCAAACGAATGAAAGAAGAAAAAGAAGAATAAGAAGAAGGTTAAAGCCCATGTGTTGTAATTAACTTTTTCTCAAATACACACACCCAGCTCTTAAAAACAATGTATTTCATTAATACTTACTTTTTCTGCCAACTGAAGAAAACCCAAATCTCTGCAAGCTTGTTTGGACATTCTTAGGCTTTGTTAACAATGGTGGAGATAATTTGATATCTCTCTGTGAGGAAGATGGCTTTGCCTTCCACGGGCTAAATGTGTGCATTTCAGGTGTTGAGGGCTTTTTCCGGCAGCTGGCTTCGGGTGAAGATGTTGAAAGATGTGACCCATCCATGACAACAATGGGCTGTAGTGGTGGTGATTTCGGATTCACAGAATTTGATTCACTGTTCTTGACCTCAAAAGGTTTATCAGTATACATGAGGTCGGTCCAAAGGCTCCTATGTCTGCTTGCATTGTCTTGTCTGTCAGAAGAATTTTCATCTTCATCTTTACTGCCTGTGCTAGAGGTACTTTTAGACCTGGATGGCATTTGAGTTTCAGTCATATCATCATCATCATCACTAATATAAATGATGTCTGGTAAAACGCTCTTGTTTTTGTCTTCATTGTTTTGCCTGTCACAGATACTCATAGAATTTTTTTCATTACCTGGTGTGGTAAAACTACTTTCAGACTCAAATGACTTTCTGGTAATAACTATATCATCACCACTATCATCAACAGCACAAATGATGTCATTGAAAAGGCTCCTGTTTTTGTTTTCAGTGTCATGTCTGCCAGAAGTACCTCCATTTTTTTCTTTATTGTCTTGTCCGCCAGAAGTACTTCCATTTTTTTCTTTATTGTCTTGTCCGCCAGAAGTACTTCCATTTTTGTCTTTACTGTCTTGTCTGCTGGTACTAGGCACATGATCATCATCATCATCATCATCAATACAAATTATGCCTGAAAAAATGCTCCTGGTATTATCTTCAATCTCTTGTCTGCTATAGATACTTTCCAATGTACCTTCCCTGTCATGTCTGCTAGAGGTAATTTCAGACATGGGTGGAATTCTTGTATTAACTACATCCTTATCAACATTAATGATGTCATTAAAAAGGCTCCGGTGTTTGTTTTCACTGTCTCGTCTGTCTGATGTACTTCCTAGTTTATATTTATTTCTTTGGCTGAAACTTCCAGGTTTGCCTTCATTGCACTGTTTGCTAGAACTATTCCCAGAGGTATATTTATCACAGTGTCTGCTGGAGCTGTTGTCAGACCTATCAACATGTGCAGCAGCGTGCACATCTGAATCACAGGCAATGGGGCTGCTATGTTCTTGTGAATTCACATCAGTATTTCCCCAAACAATTTCATCCTGTTCTGTCCTGTCTTGTGAATTCACATCAGTATTTCCCCATACAATTTCATCCTGTTCTGTCCTGTCTTGTGAATTCACATCAGTATTTCCCCAAATAATTTCATCCTGTTCTGTCCTGTCTTGTGAATTCTCACCTGTATTCTCCAATACAATTTCATCGTCTACTGATTCATCAGTCTGAGACAATCCTTTCGCTTTTATGACAACGTGTGGCGCCTGTTGAACATTTGACTGACAGTCGTGTAGTTGGATGTTCACTTGTACTAGTGGTAATGGATGCAAGCAAGAATCAGTGTTGCTATTACACTGCTGGGTATCATCTTTACTTCTAAAGCTGAGTTTTTTCTGCGACAAGCAAACATCAGTAAATCGATGCTGGCTACCTTTTAAACCACTCTCACTGTGTGAATCTGCGTTTCCTTTGACTGCCTTTTTATATGTGTCTTGCAGGCGTGATTTTCCTTCAGTTGCATGAGTTGAAGACGTAGCACTGCTAAGTGTGTCATCAACATCATCATCATGACTAAGATAATTGGTAGGATTCAGCTTTTGATTCAGATCACTGACATGTACTAAACTGCTGTTAATACTGGAGGACTTCCTTTGGCTCCCTTGCCCTTCTAAATTCTTTATTGTGGTCTGCTGATTGGGCTGCTTGACTGAGGAAGATGAAACGGCACTTTCTGTATATGAATCTTCGTGAAATTTGATACATTTTTTCATGGTCTCTGGTATACTGTGTTGTGTCTTAAAATGCGCATTATCTATTAATATACCATCAGGGTATTTCCCAGTTGAGGATACCGTGCTTTCATTATAACTGACTTCATGTATTTTCTGCCTTTGTGAAGGGTAATTTAACTCCTTCAATGCATTCTTCTGTACATTTACTTTAAAAATGTCACAGGTTCTTTGGGATCCACTTTTCATGATATCTTTGGATTCAGTTAATGCATTCTTTTTTCTGCATAAGTTAGTTACATTTTTCAAATGTGCATCGTCATTTCCTACTCTCAAAAGGCCACCTTTAGCTGCAGTATTTACAGATCCAGATGTGTTATGAGAATTACATGAAGATGATATGACGGCCAATTGTGTCACTTTAGAAGCTTTAGATTTTGAGGTTCTGATGTCAGGATTTTCCACGGGTAATTCGCCAGTCAAATCAACAACACTGTAGACACCATCCATGACTTTAATTGTCTGTATATTAGTTTCACTGTTTTGGCTAATGTCACAAACCCATACTGATTTTTGGCCTGCAACACAAGAGAGGCTACCCAGTGGAAAACGACTGGTGTCAGTGTCCTCTGTGACCTTGTACTCTAGTATGTCAGGCTCTTCGTCCTGTAAGAAAAACAATCACACCGCTTAAAAAACTCAACCAAGATTAGTTTCAGAACTAGGCAGCCTCCCAGCAAAACACAATCACAAAAGATAAAACTAACACTGTGGCTAGAAAGCCTACACAAGCTTAAAAGCATGGACAATCGTTTAAAAAAAACAAAAAATTTGTTACATGCCCTTTACATGATGTAGAAACAGTGCCAGCATTGTTTGGCTGTTCATGATTGTACTAGGTCATGTGTCATTTAGTAGTTTGCCACTGCTTTCTGTGTAGTTGGCTTTTAATACCATTGGTGAAACCAACATAAGGTGAGATGCTGCCAAAAAAAACCAGCAGCTGAAACTGAACCCGGCACCCTTGAATCACATTCGCAAAGCTTAAACTACAGATGGCGACAATAATACAACTAGACAAAAGACATATAAATAAAAAGATAAGCATAAAGGATGCTTCAAAGATAAAAAAACAACACACTGAGTTTCTATATTTCACCAGGCAGTCTCTGGCGACACATTTACACATTCCAACAATTAAATAACATGTTTAGCTTAGCCAAGACAAAAATGCCACCCATGAAGTCAAGTGTGTCATCCAAGCATGGAATGTCTTTCAGTTATAATCATAAACTTTCAAAAGCATTTAACTTCTCAATAGCACTTTATTTCATAATAAAAACATAATTAAATAACTGTTCCTATGCTCCAAGCATATGTTTAAGATCATAGATGAATGCTGCATGTTTAGATGACATGTTATGCTTCATGGCTGGTGATTTTGTCCTGGTCGTAATAAAATCACCCATATTTAATTGCCTGATGAATAACATTCATGGTCAGGATCTGTTGCCATTTGCTTAAAAGTTAGTTGTGTCTGATTAAAGATAAGCAAATAAACAAGTGCTTGCTTGTAAAACGTATATATATATATATATATTTCAGAATCAACCTGTGCGCAAAAATTACCTCTGTAATAAAAATACATCTCACAAGGGATACAGATACTGCTATTTTTTCTAACAGAAGTGCTGATTTTGTCTGAATATTAGCTGAGGTTTCAACTTCACTGCAATCGAGTCACCCCCATACATGTTCCGTTCATGTGCCAGTGAAAATCAAATAAAATGTCCTTCACCATCCCATTTGAAAAGATGGTGAACAAACAATTAGTCCCTGCCCAATCCAAAAATACGCACATGCAGTAAATGTATAAGGCAGTTGCTAGAGGCGCTAAAGCTGACAGTCGCCACCAGATATGCAGTTTGTCACTGACAGAAGTACTCAGTCACAATAAGTTGGCTTTACACATGTAAAATTATTATATAAGGTATTTCGACAGCCCATATGTAAACTGGCTACTGGCCATACTGAATACGACTCAACCCCTGCAGAAGTGGAAGGCATTTCACATGAAAAACACAGCTCACTGTGCTGCACCAAACATTTAACTCAGTAGTTTAGGCGGCGAACCCATAGACTTCATTTCGTATGTAGAAACTGCATTAGCAAAGTCCCCCCCCCCCCCTTACACGACAAGAATGGTAAAATAATTTTGGAATTCATGAGTTCTGAGCACTGGACTTTCATGTGGGAGACCTGGGCTCCATCTTACTTAAGGAATAAAGACTTTTTTCCGTAACGACAAAATACATTTCCTAACCTGCACAGTTTGTGGCGACAGCACTAGCCACGCGGTTTAAATCGTCCCGCTCACGACAAGTAATAAATAAAATAGTAAAGACATTTTAAATAACAATATACTAACATGTCAATAATGAATTACAAAAATCAATAGCTGCTAGCATCTACTTCTCTTACTGAAAAGAAAATGTAACACTTACTTACAAATAGTCATTACTGAAAGGAAAGTGTAACACTTACTTGCAAAGTCATTGCTGAAAGGAAAGGGTAAAGCTTACTTGCAAAGTCATTACTGAAAGGAAAGTGTAATGCTTACTTGCAACTAGTCATTATTGAAAGGAAAGTTTAACGCTTACTTACGACAAGATATTACTGAAAGGAAAGTGTAAAACTTACATCAAGAAATTACTGAAAGGAAAGTGTAACACTTACATCAAGAAATTACTGAAAGGGAAGTGTAACGCTTACTTACAACAAGATATTACTGAAATGAAAGTGTAACACTTACATCAAGAAATTACTGAAAGGAAAGTTAACACGTATATCAAGAAATTACTGAAAGGAAAATGTAACTGTAACACTTACATCAAGAAATTACTGAAAGGAAAGTGTAACACTAACATACAAGTCACTATTGAAAGGTAAGTGTAACATACACTTACAACTAATCATTACTGAACTATCAAAAACAAATAACATCTACTTGTGAATACTGTAAGCGGATGTAAAGCAGTGAGTAGACACCTGCCTGCCCCAGCCAGAGGGTCTTAGGTCTGAGACATATTTTTTTTTAAACAGCCTAAAATGGGTACTAGGTAATGTCCTTGGAAGTAAAGGTGGCTGGTGTAACAATGGCTACATTACGAACTAAGTGCCGACTGGTTTATGAAAATATGAGTCTAAAATTATGTCTGATGCATAAAAAAAAGGTCCTTTACTTTACTGTAACATACAGATAATACAGCATTTACCAATATATTTATGAGGGGAAGTCAATAAGTAAGTCCCAAATGGTTGTTTAAAAGAAAAAGAAAAAAAAAAATCAAGATGATAACAACTTCAAAACCATTAATTTTTCTACATACACTTTCCCTTTATTTTTTAGCATAATTTCTATTACCACTGATGAACCTGTCCCATTGTTTTTTCAGTCCTCTCAAACCTGCTGCAGAGAACTGGATGCTCTGTTTTTTAAACCACATTTTCACTTCACATTAAACTTTTGCATCATTCGCAAAATGTCTCCCGCCAATGAAAGTTGTCAGTGTATGCTGAACCATGTGAGCACCCTACTGCAGCTGCGACAGAGTCAACAATCACTGGCTTGTCACTTCCAATACATCTCCTTTACCCGCTGCACGGATGCATCTGCTGCAATCTCAACAGGACAACCAGATCAACTTCATCAACAATTTTAGAGCGTCCTCGAGAACATTTTTTTAACCCAGCTATGCACCGCTTTATGAGATAAACATTTCTTAGCATAAACAGGGAGTATTTCCTTATGATTGTCCTTCGTAGGCAGCCCTTTGCCCCCTAAACTGCACTACAGCACGTTGTTCTTTGAGGGTACACTTCATAAGTATATTCACCATTTTGTTTCGTGTTGTGAATGTGCATGCAACACCTAGCGCCACCTAATGAGCAGAGACATAAAGTTTGTTATTGCTGTCACCTAAAGACACCTTTAGAATCCACCAACTACACTTTCCTGCCATCCCATAACCATTAGTGACTCACTAATCGGAATGACAAGAAAAAACATAACTATGTAACAACTACTTAGCACTGACCCATATAGAACTCTTATAACAAGATAAAGATGCAACATCTATTTATCCTTCTGAAGCATTTTACTATTTATGACACAAAAACACTAATTTCCCAATCATTCAGAAATGAGTAAAAGGAGCCATCTCCACGTCTTCAGGCGTATTGGGCTAATAGGGCTAGACTATATTTTATAGACCAATCAGCACTTGGTGGGTAATGTGGTCAGCAACACGCCGGCTGCCTTTACCTCCCAGGACTGTAACTGGTACTCACTAAAGGCTGGGTTGACCTGGGAGCCAAAGTGATTTTTCAAGAAAGCCTGGTGTCGTCAGAACCCCAAACCACAACCTGCCAATCCAAAGGCGAACGTCTAGCCGTGACACGACGACGACTCATCAGAAAGAGGCACTTTTTTAATGTGTGTGAAAAGCTAGCATTCCCAGTATGAACACTTATGGTTATACCATTTTTTTTTACAGACCAACTACCACATGATGCAGCCGATATATCACAGCAGCTGCCTTTACTTTTCAATACATTTCCTGGTACCAATTTTAGGCTGAGTTGATCTGGCAGCTTAGGCATATTTTATAGGCAAAATCAATTGGGATTCAAACATGACCACTAAACCAGCAAGTTAATATGCTAGCCATAGTGTTATATTGAAGGAAAAAAAATGTGTTTCTATATATCCTACCTTGATAATAGTGTCCACTATGAACGTATAGTGAAGACATATAAGCCCATAGTCCGGTAATGTTCGAACATGGTCCCCGTAAAACTGGTCCGTGAAGACGTAAGAAATTTGTTCAATATTATTATCAGCACGCAGCGGCAATGATAACTTGTGGACTTGAGCTCCTCCGAAGATTAACAACCTATATAGTGAATTGTAAAGAAAGCTGAATGCATTTGAAAACAAATGTCTGAGAAAAAAATAAATAAGATCAGTTCTTCTTCTTCTTCATCGTGTTCACTGGCTTTAAACTATGGCAGAAAGTTATGGTTGTTCGTCCACTTCTGGACTCTAGTCTTGTTTCAGAAACTGAGTGCTGCGAGGATGAAATAAAAAGGAGTGAAGAAATAAGTGAAATGTCTGGGCAACCAATCGTATCAACAGTTATAAGACAGGGAAGATGGGACCTCTCTGGACACATTCTGAGAAGAAACCAGCAGTGAATCACTAAAAAGACGTTACAATGGCAAATAAAGGGATTGAGAAGGTGAGGACGCCCTAAAAAAAACCTAAGACAAACGTTTATTAGAGAGGCCAAAGCTGCCGGACTGGCTTCCATTCATGATATTGAACTGACTGCACAGGATAAACAGGAATGGAGGAATAGACTGTGAGCCCTATGATAAAACGGAATGGAGGAATAGACTGTGAGCCTTATGCAACACACAGTGGCACAACAGGATAATAAATAGAATATATTGAACACAAAATATTAGAATAAGTAAACATGAAACAAGAGATTACCACTACTGACTGCTGTAGTTGAACGACTTTCTTATGAAATGTATTGTCTTTCAGAACACAAGACAAACAGCTAAATCTCTTTGCAATAGAGATCACTTCATCATACAGTTAGTTAATTGTGTATCCATTACAGGACGCAGCAGAACCCAGCTGTTTTTGGTTTTACTAGGCAAATTTACATTCAGTAGTTTGCCATTGCTTTCTGAATGGACGACCATCGATACGAATGTCGTAATCAATGCAAAGCTGTCTATCATCATCCTACAATATGTGCGCTATATTGACTTCTTTTCATTTCATTTCACTTGCCACATTATAAAATGCAAATTAATATTTTTATATAATGACACAAATAATACACTGCACACATCGTGGTATCTCATCAACATTCATGTATTGTGCACATTTTTTTTAAAAGCATGTGATAAATGTTACACTTCCATGGTAACTTGAACTTCTGTTTATGAGATGTACTGGCGGTTGCACCTCGCTGTGGAAACAAGTGTACTTAGAGCATGGGCAACTAGGCACCCTCCAGACAGGCAAACATGCTAGCTATTGCACACCGTCACTAAGAAGATGCATTTGTCATATTTAGAGCCATTATTTTTCAGTTTTTTTTTTAAATAGGGAAGTAATCACTAAATACAAACAGAGCAACCAAATAACTGCTTTCCTTCCCTTTGAGCAAGAAAATTGGGTTTTCATTAACACAGCTAGAGAGAGCAAAGTGACATCATAAGTTTATTATGGCATCACAATGACACACACAAACAAAAAAGTCTGGCCCATAAAATATCTCAAAACATATTTTCTTTTAAAATACAACCACTATGTGTAAACATTACGCGGTTGCAACCAGTACCAAAACTGTTACATATAGGCACACTTGGCCACTGCCAAAAGATGTCATGTCATTAAAAAAAAACAATAAAAGTCAGAAAAAAGGGTTAAATTCACTACAGGAAAAGACATTTATCATGCAAAATGAAGAACAAAACATTACTTCTTATAATCTTCTGAGTTAGCGGTCAACAAGAGTGCAACATGCCATCCAGTGAAAGGCTGCTCCGCATGCTTCGATATCCTCCTCCGCCAGCGTCTGGCAGCACCAACTAAACTATGGGACTTGTGGTCAAACTTGTGGTCATAATCTTCCTCCTTCAGCCAAATCCCAACTTCATAGCTGTCTTCAATGTACTCTGGAGGCAGAACCCATAAACCTGAAAACACAGCAGACAATGACCAATCAAGTGAACAGACATTTTCCACTTCATTAGTTCAAGAGAGGTATCTGATCATCTAAAGCAGTGGTCTCCACTCTGGGGTGGGGAAAAGGGGGGGTGGACAAGGAGGTTTCAAGGGAAACATCAAGCAATTCTGAAAGTTTTCTTTTTCTTCTTTGTTCACTAACTGTAAGCTCCGGTGGAAAGTCCTGACTGTTTGTCCATATGGACTTTGGCTTTGTGCCTGGATTTGAGTTAAGCGTGTACATCAGTTTTATTGACATATTTATGTTCAGTGTTTGTTCCTTGCCGCTCGGGCAGATACTCAAAACCCACACAGGGACATTTTGAAAGTGTGTTTGTACTTGTAATTAGGGTTGTACTGAACATTCGCTTCGTATTCGCTTCGGGCCGAATATTGGACCAAATAACTATTCGGTATTAGGCAGAATACTTGCGGTCGGGCCGAATACAAATAGTGGTTACTTTACACCCGTTTCTGGACTGGTGGAAAATAAACATGTCAAGATTTCCCACCTTGGTTCATACTGTCAAGTGTTATCTTTGTGCACCACCTACGAGCGTAACAAGTGAACATCTGTTTAGTGCAGCTGGAAATACCTTCAGTGAGACGAGAAGCTGCCTTAATGCTGACAACATGAAACGATTATTATTATTTTAATTTTTTTACAGCTAATGCCGCTTGCATGCATTAACTAAGCTGTCAGTGACAATTTACAAGTTTAGTTATAAAACTAATATACTTTCATTCCAAGGTATTAGTTGCCACAGCCTGACTGACTGGATGCAAAACATCAAATGTTTTTAAATGTTTACTATTCTGTACTACATTTTTTGAAGTAAAATTTCATGGTGCATTTGACATTATGAATGTTTTTTTTAGATCTATTTTATACACTATATACTATTCGAAAAAGAAAGAATGAGCCTCAGTTTGAATAGTGGGAAGACAGAAGTAATGGTGGTATCAAAGAAAAGAATTATTCCTAAATGTGTAATAAAAGTCAATTGTGTTATTTTGGGTCAATTACAGAAATTTAAGTATCTGGGCACATGGATAACATCAGATGGGAGATGCATTACTGAAATAAGAAACAGAATAGAACGGGCAAAAAACTGTATTTTATCAAATGAAGAACATCTTATGGAATATTTCTTTGTCATTAAAGGTTAGAAAAAAGAATTCTTGCTTGCTACATACATCCAGTTTTAACATATGGCTGTGAGTCCTGGACAATCGGTAGGCAGGCCAAACAATTTCATGAGGCTTTAGAGATGTGATTTTACAGTACAATGCTTAAAATACCCAGGACAGCAAAAAAAAAGCAACCAAGAGGTTTTGAAAGAGGCAGGAACCTGAAGACAAATAATCACAGACATCAGAAGGAGACAGTCCTCATTTTTCGGCCACGTTATGAGAAGAGGGAAAATGGAACATGTGGTGGCCCCTGGAAAGATCTGTGGAAGTAGGGAGTGGGAAGACAACGAGAGAAGATTCTTGACAGTCTTGCTGCATGACATAAAGATGTGTCAGCACATGAACTAATACATGCTGCAGGAGATCGCAGATTGTGGCGAGGCATAATCGCCCACGCCAGTCGGTAAGGCACCTGATGATGATGATACACTTCGCATTCGGCCGAATAGTTGGCCCTGCTATTCGTATTTGGCCGAATAGTAATAATCACTGTTCGGTACAGGCCTACTTTTTTAAACCTGTAATACTAACATATAGTTTTGGTTAAATTATGATAAAATATATATTTTTAAAAAACTATTTATTAAGCAAAATGACAACAATGTTTTTGTTTTCATGAGCAGTTTGTGCACCTACACTTACAAATATAATTAATATAATAACATGCACATTTAACTACAGATTAAGAACATATTCTGACCAAAACGTGTAGCAATACTTTCTATTTCCCTTGTTGCGGAATCTATTTTCCTCCTCTTTTTAATCACATTTGTTAAGTTAGTGGTGGTGTGGGCCCCTTGCATACATTCATAAAAGGGGTGGGCAGGGGGAGGGTGGGGATCTCATCATATACACAAGGGGGTGGCAGCAGTCTCACCATATATTCAAGGGGGGAGCTTTGCTATAAATTTCACGGGGCATGAGAGCCTTACCATATGTTTCAGGAGTGTAGGGTACAGGTCTTGCCATATACTCAAAGGTATAGAGGGGCATGGCATAAACTCAAGATAGGTGTGATCTGAAAAATGGAGACTACTGATCTAAAGGCTTCTTCTTCTTCCTTTTCTTCTTCCTTGAGGTTAACTAATACAGATATCATCTGTCTTTATTCATCTCTGTGACTGGCCTTCACTTTCCAGTTGGTGACACCAAGCGTTTGCAGGTCTGCCTGTATATTATCTTCCCGCCATCATCTTGGCCTGCCTTGTGGTCTACTTTGATTTAACTCTTTTGTGTAGTCTGAAGTCTTTGCCCCATTATATATTCTTTAATGGTGGCAACAAATATCTTCTACTGACTTGTGATATGTAAAATAAAATGCAAACTAGGATGTACTGTATGTTACTGTGTGCTAGCTGTACACTGGTTGGTTGTCCTCCACAACTTGGTTGTATAGACTTTCTTCTTCTTCATGATTCTTCTTTCGTTTGCTTGAAATAAATTATGTATATCTGCAATGTTGTCTCTAGTGTGAACTTTACTGTCTTTTGCAATTCACTCAGCGACCTGTAAACTTTTGCTTGCACGGGTGTCTCCCTTGGCCTGAAGTTTTGCCTGGAAATGTTGTATTTGGGACAGTCTTGGAGGACGCGATCTGTTGTCTCAGGTGCCCTTCCACATGTGCATATGGCTGATTCACCAATCTGAAATTGTGTCCTGTTCTAAGGCACAGAATAACTTCTTGCTCTGGTCTATCCATAATATGGTAATCATCTTGTGCTGATTTTAGTGGCTTTCTGATTATTCTTTCTTCTGGTGATAAGAGGCTGGTACGCCAGGTTGTTCTTCAATTGCACCTTCCTTAGATAGTTTATCAGATCTCTAATTTGCACAGACTTTCAGAGGCTGATATCTTACGCATAAGCAGATACTCTCACTGCGACCCACAACACAAGCATCTGGCATGCAAACACACACAGGAACTCATACATCTCATTATTCCTAAGGATAGTGGTTCCAAATTTTATAAATATAAAATTTAAAAAACCGACAATCTATCAATTGGCACTCATAGAAAGGAAGTAGAAAGATTATTAGTACTGACTGCAGTGATGAATGCAGCTAATTTTCCTCATTTTCTTACTGTGTTAACTGGTTCCTTTCCCATAGTTCTTTCAACACTCATATTTTCACTACCTACTTTTGCATTAAACTCTCTTTGCACTTTAAAATAGGTCATTACATTAAAGTGTTTGCGACATGCTAATCAAGGACTAAAATCTGATAGCATTAAAATGTTCTTATACCATGTGGAGAAAACTCTAATGAACACACCACTGCAAGTCACAAGCATGCAACTTGTGAAACCCACTAGCTACCACCTGCAGAAAGCTGACGGATATATCTATCATACTCCTGAGATAGCAATTAGTCACAATTTATACATCCATTACACCCATTTAAAGGGTTAATAGTTACAGCCACATAATCAGAGCTAAAACATAATTTATGAATAAATCCAAGAGTGTGTAATATGACCTGTTGTACAACACAGACAAAATCTTATCACTAACTTACCAAGGCAGACCACGGCGACAACTGAGAGATAATACATAGACCTAAAAATACTTTTATAGTTACCAATTGGAAAGAGAAAGCCAATCACTGAGATAATTGGAAAAAAAAAGGGGGGGGGGGGGGGGGGGGGGGAAAGAGGGGTGATATCTACATCAGTAAACCTCAAGGGTTCGGAATGCTGAAAAAGAACAAGAAGAAGAATGTGTAACAGACAAGCTGTTAGCTACAGAATAAGCTACAATAAAAATTAATAAAGCACACGTGTACCCACCTCGCACACAAGCTCCTAGAAATTTCTCGTTACACTTGATGATATCAGTTATCAGATGTGTTGCATTCTTCTCGAAAAACTGTGGAATTTAAATTGGCTCCAAATGTTAGTAAGAATAATGCTGGTAGGAATAGCACAGCGGTTTACAGAATTACAAAGATAAAGGAAGTTCTATAGCAGATACTGCAGGGGCACTGACATAAAGAAAACTTAAGGGGGGGAGGGGGGCGCGTTTAGCACCCTTATAATTGTTCACATGGTCATATCACATAAGGTGATGTGGTCTGTTTTATTCTTTATCTCCTTTAATTCCCAAACAATTACATTTTAGAAATTATCTGCTACTCACTTTCATGAGGCCGAGGGAGAGTTGCACTGGCAGAAAAATAATGTAATTTCTGGTGATGAAAGCAGGGACACCATTTCATCAGGCAATTGCACTGGCCACTATATTTAAGACCAGTGGTTTTCAACTAGTGAAGGGGGGGGGGGGGGGGTCAAGGAAGTTTAAAGAGGACGCCATCTGAAAAAGTTTCAAAACCACTGCTCTAGACAATGACAAACAAACAAGAAATATGCGTACTTACAGCAGCAGACAGATCAACACATGTATTACATACATCAATTTTGGCATGCTTTTGTATAAAATTTACTTACCATAAACTGCAGAGTATAAATAGACTTTTCAAGCTTATACAAGTCTTTCCTAAAATAGGGGCCAGCTTAAATGTGTACAATGGGTTTAGGCCTAACTCAAAATTTGAAGCTAATAGTCTTAGAATCAACTTGCATATCATGTCAAACTGTAAGTCACAATTTATGTGATTCAGAGAAATTCAACACAAAGTAAGTCCCCTCCATCTACCCAAGATTTGTGCAAGGTAATGAGCAGAAGTAATCCCCTCCATCTACCCAAATGAGCAGAAGTAATCCCCTCCATCTACCCAAGGTTTTATGCGACCTAATGAGCAGAAGTAATCCCCTCCATCTACCCAAGGTTTTATGCGACCTAATAAGCAGAAGTAATCCCCTCCATCTACCCAAGGTTTGTGTGATGTAATGAGCAGAAGTAATCCCCTCCATCTACCCAAGATTTGTGTGATGTAATGAGCAGAAGTAATCCCCTCCATCTACCCAAGGTTTTATGCGACCTAATGAGCAGAAGTAATCCCCTCCATCTAGCCAAGGTTTTATGCGACGTAATGAGCAGAAGTAATCCCCTCCATCTAGCCAAGGTTTGTGTGATGTAACGAACAGAAGTAATCCCCTCCATCTAGCCAAGGTTTGTGTGAAGTAACGAACAGAAGTAATCCCCTCCATCTAGCCAAGGTTTGTGTGATGTAACGAACAGAAGTAATCCCCTCCATCTAGCCAAGGTTTGTGTGATGTAACGAACAGAAGTAATTCCCTCCATCTACCCAAGGTTTTATGCGACGTAATGAGCAGAAGTTATTCCCTCCATCTACCCAAGGTTTTATGCGACCTAATGAGCAGAAGTAATCCCCTCCATCTAGCCAAGGTTTGTGTGATGTAATGAGCAGAAGTAATCCCTACCCATCTCCATCCCAGTTTGTGGTTTTATCCCCGACCTAATGAGCAGAAGTAATCCCCTCCATCTACCCAAGGTTTGTGTGATGTAATGAACAGAAGTAATCCCCTCCATCTACCCAAGGTTTGTGCAAGGTAATGAGCAGAAGTAATCCCCTCCATCTACCCAAGGTTTGTGTGATGTAATGAGCAGAAGTAATCCCCTCCATCTACCCAAATGACCTAATGAGCAGAAGTAATCCCCTCCATCTACCCAAGGTTTGTGCAAGGTAATGAGCAGAAGTAATCCCTCCATCTACCCAAGGTTTGTGTGATGTAATGAGCAGAAGTAATCCCCTCATTTACCCAAGGTTTGTGCAAGGTAATGAGCAGAAGTAATCCATCTACCCAAGGTTTTATGCGACCTAATCATTTACCCAAGTAATCCCCTCCATCTACCCAAGGTTTGTTTGTGCAATTTGTGGTAATGAGCAGAAGTAATCCCCAGAAGTAATCCCCTTCCTCTACCCAAGATTTGTGTGATATAATGAGCAGAAGTAATCCCCTCCATCTACCCAAGGTTTTTGCAAGGTAATGAGCAGGCTGATAAGATTGGCATTAGCTGCTGCCACCCCTCTGGGCGGTGAGCTACTTTACGATAATGCAGATGTGGTGAAGACTCTCTGCAATCAAATGGACAGTGCAATAAAACAGACAGAGAATACATACATTGACAGGCCCATTCAACCAGGGTTGAGTAAAGGTTCTGGAAGATATTACAAAACTGAGAAGAAATGCAGACGGACTTTTAATCAGGTTGCAACTGCTACTATTAGCAAGTCAACTCTTTGTTGGTTACTGAAGAAGAGGACAGAGCACATGTGGGAATTTCCCGACTGCAGTGATGTCAATTCTTGATTCATCCATTCACACCCATGGCTAGCTTTTCACTTGTAACAATTTTGTCAGAGCTGTGGTCTCACAGCCTACTCTGTGATGTCCAACTGTTGTGGGATTCCTACCCAGCATCTGTTGAATTGTAAAGCCCAGCAGCAAAAAAGCAGATAATGACCACACACACACAAAGGAATCCTAACATGCAAAACTTGTTATGGACCACCTGTTTTGTTTTTTCTGTTGGTCCTTTTTTTTCCAGAAAAGATTAAGTATGCAATATTACATTACTACCCAAGTGATCTGAGGGGCTGGTGATATCATTTAAACTAAACAGTAGATGAAGTGTTTGAAACGTTTTGCACTTCCGTGTGAAAGTAAACTACTTTTGTAAATCATCCTAGACTATCATTGGTGAGATGCATAGTAGTACAAGATTGGAAAAGATTCATGTTTTGTGCGATATTACACATTTTACTCTGAAGTCAATCCTCAGAATTCTGTCAGTATCACGGGTGGCATATATATATATATATATATATATATATATATATATATATATATATATATATATATATATATATATATATATATATATATATACAGCGATATATATATATATATATATATATATATATATTATTATTTATATTTCAGCTGTCAGCCAATAAATTCTAAAATGTATTGTCCTTCGTTCGCATTATCCAAACACTCATAAATAAAACGATAGCATTTCAATGAAACGAGCAGTGCTGCTTATGGGCATAAGCAGATATAGTATACATATATTATATATAATATAGACCTACCTTGTCGGCTTGTGAAATTAAATTCGAGTGTGTGGGTAAAGTTAACAACAAAAACTATGATGTCATTATTGTAACACATACAGTAAACCTACACTTTTTTTAAAGTACTGACCAAGAGTGATGATGCGTGTAATTTATGTTACGGGATTGAGGTCCGCAGCAATAACAGAAAATGATCAATGAGATTCCACCATTGACTTAATTCAGCAATCTCCATTTCATAACGTCGTTTCGCGCTATATCATAAGTGGTGCTAATAATAGAAACGGGAATTTACCGGAATTTCCCAATGACAATAAAACGTCCTGATGATCAAAATATATAAAACGTTGACAAGACCAGTGTTTTATATGGTTCTGAAGTTTGGAGCACAACTAAAAGAGATGAAGGCTTATTACAGGTTTTCGAAAACAGAGTCTTAAGACGAATCTCTGGACCCATCAAAGATGCAAACAGCGGGGAATTCATAATATGTTTAAATCAATACTGTTTGTACTGATAACTGGCATCATTCATTCATTCATTCATTCAGTGGCATGTCCCTCGCGGAACCTCGCTGCCATAACAACCCTCCGGAAAACCTTCCTATCAAGAGCAAGATGTCCTGCGTCTGATACACCCATCTGGAGATCACCTGCCACATCCTGCACCCATCTTCTCCTTGGCCTTCCTCTTCCTCTCTTCCCAGGCATATACCCCTCTATTATTGTTCTCTCTAGACTTCCATGACGTTTCAAGTGACCAAAATATTTCAATTTTCTTTGTTTTATTGTCTTTACTAGCCAACCCTCTTCAATATTCAGCTCTTGAAGTATAGATGCATTTGTTCTTTTCTTTACCCAAGATATTCTTAGAACCTGTCTGTAACATTTATATTCAAATGCATTTATGCGCTGTTCCGCTTGTTTAGTAAGTGTCCAGGTCTCACAGGCGTATGTTGCAATGGGAAAGATGCATGCTCTTAAAAATCTGACCTTTGTAATTCTATCTGTACAATTCCATAATTTATTCAGTTGTTTTAGTCTTTGAAGAGCAATTGATAGTCGCCGTTTAATTTCTTTCATTGTGTCACCATTGTTGGTAACCAGTGACCCAAGATATTCGAAATTTTCCACCACTTCCAATCTTTCCTTATTAACATATATTTCCTTCTCCATGGCAGTTTTGTTTGTATGCATTATCTTTGGGTTTTGCTATGTTAAGAAATAAGTTATGATTTTCACTATTTCTTTGGAGTGAGGTTAATAAGTTTTCTAAACCACTTTGTGATGTTGATAGTAATACTGTATCATCAGCATAACGAATTTCTGGTATTTCATGACCACCGATGTTTAGGGCATCATATTGTTCCTTGTTTATATCATCTCTTACATTTCTCATTATATTTTCGGCGTACAGATTGAACAAATACGGTGACAGCACACATCCCTAACTGACAGCTAATAGACTGAAATGGTTGGGGCATATTGAGAGAATGTCAGATGACAGAAAAGTGAAAACTGTATACGTAAGGCAGATAAATGGCCTCCAGACAGCCCTGCAAACACTTGGTTTCACCAGCTGGAAAAGAGAAGGCCAACCAGAGAGATGAATGGAGGCTAGTGATATCTGCAGCAATGAACCTCAAGGGCTCGGAATGAAGAAGAAGAAGAAGAGGTAAAGGAGCTCCTTTACGCCACCGACGCATCCAGCAGGTGTTTACGAGTCCTCCGCCACGGCCTTCTCTATTTATTCTCTATATATACAGACGGGCCTGTGATAAAAGCCACGTCCATCTTTAGACTAAAAATGTATAGCTACAGTCGGCCGTGATAAAAGCCACGTCCATCTTTAGACTAAAAATGTATAGCTACAGTCGGCCGTGATAAAAGCCACGTCCATCTTTAGACTAAAAATGAATAGCTACAGTTGGCGGTGATAAAAGCCAACATGACGACGGCCACCTGGACTCTCAGCCTATGTGAGCAGGTCAATTATAAAAATCTGCCTAGACGGAGATTTGAAACCAAGTGTCCAGTCGCTGTGCTACCTCGAACAAGACAGTCACCACGTGGACAGTTGCTAATCTATTAACTAAATGCACAGACCAGAATTTAACATTTCTTTCTATGTTGAATTAGGAATCGACATCACAGCACTTAGGACACCCCCCATAAGTGGTCTGTCCCCATCTTCAGCAGCAAGCGAAGAGTAAAAATTCCCACGGCACCGTCTTACTGTATATCCGTCTCGACTTTCCCCTGAGTGCTGCGCGTCGGCCAGATCCCCTTGTAACTCCTCGCAGTGCCATTCACATCAGACCGTAATGATCGATCTGTTCCTTGGAACTGATAATTTTTTCCTATTACGCGACTCATTTCAATCTTCCGAATGTTTGTTTTGTGTCGAACACCGCATGAGAATTTCACAATGTGCGCTTGTGTTATCTTCTGTATCGTGACCGCCGGCGGTACATTAAAAGCTGCAGGAGGTCGTGGTTTGGACGAGTGATTTACTCACGACCTCTTGCAGCTTTTTCTAGAGAAGGCGGTGGATTTTATAATCAAGCTGCGTTGTTATTTTGATTTTTGAGCTCGGGTCGAATTGTCCAGAAACTGAAGAAGCGTTCGGAAAACAAAAGACAAGATGGCTGCCAAGAAAACAGATTATAAGCATCATATTCGTATCTCTCTGTAAGGGTTTCGTGGCCCATTTTAGAAAAAAAGGGGGGAGGGGTAGATTAGGTGCCTCCATAACAAGTATGTCGTAATAGGCGACCAATAAGGGCAGTTTCTCTTGAAGTCGGAGTGCAGCTGCATGAGAGTCAAGAAGTCAACAGTCTGTATTCAAGTAAGATAGATCTGTAAAACGTATGTGCGCGCAAAACTCAAGTTCTGGAACATGATCACAGTCCAGAATGGACGAACAACCAGAACTTTCTGCCGGTGAGGCGAAGGGGATGAGTCAATGGCAGACCATCGTTTTGGAAGCCCACAAGGAAGGGAACTGGTTACCATACCATGGCTCAGAAGATATGAAGGTCCCAACAACAGTAACTGCTAGGGGACAACCTGCCTTAAGAAATATGAAGGCTCCAACATTTCACCTCTAAGAAAATATGAAAGGCTCCAACAACAGTAAACAACAACCTGCCTAGAAAATATGAAGGCTCCAACATTTCACCTATCCAACAACAGTAACTGCTAGGGGACAACCTGCCTAAAAAATATGAAGGCTCCAACATTTCACCTATCCAACAACAGTAACTGCTAGGGGACAACCTGCCTAAAGAAATATGAAGGCTCCAACATTTCACCTATCCAACAACAGTAACTGCTAGGGGACAACCTGCCTAAAGAATATGAAGGCTCCAACATTTCACGTCCCCAACAACAGTAACTGCTAGGGGACAACCTGCCTAAAAAATATGAAGGCTCCAACATTTCACCTCCCCAACAACAGTAACTGCTAGGGGACAACCTGCCTAAAGAAATATAAGGGCTCCAACATTTCACCTCCCCAACAACAGTAACTGCTAGGGGACAACCTGCCTGAAAAATATGAAGGCTCCAACATTTCACGTCCCTAACAACAGTAACTGCTAGGGGACAACCTTTGACCTTTATAATGATATCCAGGACAAAAAAGGACATACCTCTGAATTAAGATACTGGCCATCCAGCGCCATTATCTTCTGCTACACAGTCCGATAGCCTTTATCAGATCTTGTGTTGGATAGTGTTGGATTTAGGCATAAGCTAAAGCTTAGGGTCTCGCAATATGTAGGGGCCTCAAAAAATTTATATTCTTTCAACTGTATTAATATTATATTGGGTATATTACTTCAGGTTGTTAGTTATTCTTCTGGGATGCATTTTTTCGTTATATTTTGAAGCTCCACTCTGGCTGTTGCTGGGGGAACTAATATACCTAACGGTTAAATGGGGTTTCCATGAGCTCTCCAGGGGCGATCCTCATCCGCATGATGGCACTTTGTGTCACAGGGTGTTTATCGCTCTGTGTGATGTCCTGGTGGGGTAAAACTTACTTACTTACGTCAGAATGTAAAGACCTGAACAGTGAAAATGTGTTGCACAAGAATGTTTGAGGGTGAATGGAAGAATGGATAACAACATCATGGAATGACAGTTAACAGCAAGAGTGTGATAAAAGATGAAAAAAAAGTGTTACTGCCGGTCTCTGAATTCAGTTTTATATTGGTATTATAATAAAGTATGTGTGAAGCAGTTGTGTGTCCACATCGATATGTACAGATGTGTGCCTGCAAGTTGAGAAATGTGGGAAATGAACGAGTCCAACAAAAAACCAAGTTCAGCTGCGGTTAATGACAAAGAAGAAAAAACGAAGAAGAAATCAACAGGGAAAAAAAAAAGATCATACCTTTGAACCAATGTACTGGCCGTTCAGTTCCTTTATCTTCTGGGACAGCGGTATCACTTTCTCAGACGACACATCCAGTAGGATCTTAGGACCAGGGCTCTCATGCTTCCTCAGCCGTAGCATCTAACAACAAATAACAAGAGTTGGAATCAAGCTGCCCCTCTGATTATTTACCAGCTTCACAGTCTGGAGATTAGTAGCCGCGGTCGCTTAACAGCTAGCACATTTTTCTGTGGTCGACCTCTGGCTCCTTTATCGGTATAATACTGCTCTCTGTGGTGCCTTGAATGTTGGCAATCTTGTTACATGGCCAAACTATATGATTTGCTGTCTACCGATAAAGTTCCGTTTTGGTTCTGTGCCGACTCTCCTGATATCATCGTTCCTAATTCAATCGTTCCTTGTTAGCCGAGCATAATACAGTTTTGTTTTGGTATCTGCTATTTTGTTTATGTTTTTGGACAAGGCACTAAAGACTACAGATAAACATGTTAATATATTACATTATTACATGTATTAATACACTCATTTTCAAAATTGCTTGACCCCACCCCCTCCCCACATTGAAAACCACTGGTCTAGACGACTAATCCCTAAACGTATGTTGAGATGTCCGGTACTGAAAGCGTTAAACATGTAGTAAATACCTATAACAATTATCTATGTAAATGGAAAACAACCCCCCCCCCCAACGTCTAGACGAGGCTTGTATCGAGTATATGGCGCTACCCTCGAGTATTTACAGATTACTCAGTAATGAGTGGATGGTGCACGCCAGTGTTCTTCAACCCGTGGACTGCGGAACAGTTCAGGTAGGCCACCGAAACCTTCTGCCTATTCGTGTAATGGGGATTTGGTGTGTATTTTTTTTCTCTTCCATAACTGCAGTCTGCAGGATTTAACACTCCAAGGATGACAATCAAACAGATACAAATCCTGGAAGCCTGTTCAACCGCATAAAACAATTCCCTTAAGACATCAGACGCTTAGGTAACCTATAGACCAGTCTTGGCTGGGACTAAGGCTATCATCCATTTCAAGATCATGCTCACTGCACATAGGGCATACCCATAAGTGCTCAGATTTTCTAATAAGTATGTTTCATAGTGTGTTTATGCTGACGATTCCTGTTTATGTTGGTTGATGTGGTGACTAAGGTTTTGCATGGTTTTCACGTCACACTGCTCCAACTGGTAAAAAGCTAGACTTGCAATCGAGTTAGAAAGAAATGATTATCTTCACTTTTGAGATCTTCAGTACGTGCTGCCTTGCGTATAGCATTGGCTATGTCCATTGTAGCTCCATTTCCTAAGGTGGCTTTGCCTGCAATCATTTGACCTTTCGTTTCCTTTGACACTGTCATCTCTTGGGACAAATAAGAATGTAATGAAGCAGAGTGCTGCTTTTTGTAATGAATGATACCATTCTCTTCGCATGGATCCAGCTTTGATCTTTTTTATCATATTCACAGAATCACTCAGAAAACATGCATGAGTGAATTCCAGTGTCTGCAGCCATTCTAGGGTCTTCGTCGCAGCCATGGTTTCCATTGTCAAGCCTCTGGTGGTGGCAGCAAAGGCTTTGCTGGCTTTTTTTAATGATTCTTTGTGTTGTTCTTATCATGAACGCCCAAGCACTTCGTTTGTGACGAATCACAGAACCATCTGTGTACATAACAGCATCATCTTCTATGTGTTTTCATAAATCAGTGCTTTGACCTCTGAATCAACCATTGCAGGAGGTAAGTCACAAAATGTTCTGTCTAAAGTAATGATCACCTTAATCGACTGCCGATATTCAATAGGTATAGGCATTCATTCCTCTCCTGCTTGAAATTCCTTGACATTATATACTATTTTTATGACTTCTGCTCGGCCCAGTATCTAAGAAAGGTGGCTGGATACACACACAAAATTCTCTTGACTCGCTTTCTAGAGAGGGACAGTGGTTTTATTATATTCAGACTAAGGACAGGACACAAGAGACTTCATCAACATACGTTAAAACTTTTCAAACTACTACTGTGGGAATGCAAACAAGTGTTTGAACCTTCTTAATCGACAGGCATTTAGTGACTGCACTGTACCCCAAGTGGAGGAGCTTTCGCATCCCTTGAATAAGAGAGGTTTAGGATGGGAAAGAGAAGGAGCATAGGAAGAATTGAAGAAAGTGCACAAAAAAACACACAAGCAGGGCTGGGAAATGGAGACTTTGCCACCAGCATGCCACTGAGATCTGTCTGTTTTTATCTTCTTCTCCTGAAAGCTAAATTATTGTTATTCATAATAAATATCATCATCATTGTAACACCAATCGCACTCTACTATATCATATGTACATTTAACTCATTGAATTAATTAATTACTCATTCAATGAGCCATGATTTATTATGATGTAAGATCAATACCATCCATTTATTTTTGTTTAGACTGATTCAATAAAATCTTGTTTAAGTTATTATAAAAACTTATTTGGGTAAACTGTGTACTTAAGTTCAAAGTGTCTTTGTGCATTACTAGTTTACCACAGCTCATTTATTTCTAAATCATTTGATGGGGGCTTTTGTTATAATTTAATACCAGGAGAGGAGAAGGTAGGAGTGGTTAACTGTGTACCTTGATATTCTCTCATTGAATTCATCTTGATATCTAACTACCCTTTTCCTACCCCTGTGGAAACAAGTACAGCTACTTTTATTTTATTGTACCGGCCACTTCTCCTGTTTTCTTGGTTATCCAGGACTAAGTCTGGGATCAACACAGCTCAGATATTAGTCCAATTTCTAAAGTGGGTATGGTGTGTTAGGATTCAAACCCACACACTCACTACTCTAGTGTATATCCACTTGGATTTGGCAACAGAGAATGAGTGGTGGGTTACATTAGATTATGAGAGTGAGTGGCGGGTTACATTAGATTCTGGAAGTGAGAAGTGGTGGTTACATTAGAATCTGAGAGTGAGTGGTGGTTATATCAGATTCTGGGAGTGACTGGTAGGTTAAATTAGATTATGCAAATGAGTGGTGGGTTACCTTAGATTATGACAGTGAGTGGTTTGTTACATCAGATTCTGGAGTGAGTGGTAGGTTAGATTAGTTTCTGGGAGTGAGTGGAGGGTTACATTAGATTCTGAGAGTGAGTGAAGGGTTACATTTGATTTTTAGAATGAGTGGTGGGTTACATTAGATTCTGAAAATGAGTGGTAGGTTACAGTAGATTCTGAGAGTGAGCGACAGTCATGTTTGATTCTGAGAAGAGTAAGTGGTAGGTTACATAAGATTTTGGGAGTGAGTGGTGGGTCACGTTAGATTATGAGAGTGAGTGGTAGGTTACATTAGATTTTGAGAGTTAATGGTTGGTTGTATTAGATTCTGAGAGTGAGTGATGGGTTACATAAGATTAAAAGTCCCATATTTTGTTTAACTATTAACATAAGAAACGGAAATGGTTGCAAGCAAGGTAACCATTTTTCTTCCAATGTCTTCCTTATTTCATAATTACTGAGAGGTTATTTATGCACCCCATCCTTTATGACCAGGGCTGTAGTAGGCAACCATCAGTCCCTGGGGACCACGGAGTTGTGCTTCTAGTTTTGGGAACAGAGTCTGCCAAAACTGTAATGTCCAATGTGGGAGTGACAGTCTCTGCCATATAGTCCACATAGAAATGCTGATAGACTATCATTCTGAGGCTGGTTTTCTCTCAGATGTCTCCTCTCTATAGCTTGCTGCAATTGGCTTCTTTCCAACTGTGACAGTCCATCTTTCACTGTCTGCCTCCAAAGGAGTCGGTCTGCAATTAATTTCTTCTAAATGTCTGTGCCAATGTTTGTATCTTTCAGGTCACATTTGCATACGTCCTTATAGCATAGCTTTGACCTTCTTATTCCTGTCACAAGCTCACAATACAGGAGATCCTTTGGAATGTGATCATCCTCTGTGCGAGAGACATATCCCAACTAATGCAAGCGTCTTTGCTTCAGTAGAAACTACATTGTTGGCTTTCCTGTTCTTTTGAGTACAGATTCTTTGGGGCAAAATCTCATTTTTACCACTATATACCAAGAGTGTATACAGACTTTATTTCTCTTACACAGCATACAGGACCAGGACATGACAGCATAAATAAACATTATTTTATAACTGAACACACCTTCATCAAATGTGTTCACTGACTCTAGCACATGTTGATTTTAAGCACTTAGGCCAAACAGCAGTCATGTCTAAATAGACTGCTGAGAATTTGCCAGACAGAGAGAAAAAGAGAAAATATGATCCAGATGTGGAAAAACTATAGGGCACTGGTAAACATCTCAAGGGCAACATCTTGTTTGTAACCCATTCCAGCATAGATGCAAAGTAAACGTTAACAGCTGAAGCACCTAACAAGTCATAGATTTTTGTTTTTGGTTAACTTGTCAAACACTATACACAATATTCACTTAGTAAACCCTCCAAAGCTTAAGGAATATTTAAATCAAGGACCACTCATTTAAAGAAAACTTCATTCAGACAACTAAAGAATAATTATATTCAAAATATGAGCTTCCACTTCATGGCTCCAAAATAAGTTGCTCACTTATCCGAATGCCTATCTTTAGACTCCAAACACTTCTCACAAATTAGAGATACCACAGACGGCATAGTGACCAAAGGAGAACAGATTCCCTGAGAAATGCAGTCACCAATCAGATATTAGAATACATTCATATGTTAAAAAAGAAGGCTATCTGGGATAATCACATACAAGAGGAATATATAAATATAAAATATGTTTCCACTTTTGGGAGAATTTTAATTTCTTATTTCAACCTGTAACTGATATTCACCAAATTCAGTCTGCACTTAAAGGTATTAGCTGAAAATGAGGATCATTGCAAAGGCAACCTTTGAATTAATATTTCGCTTTTGGAAGATGTATGATCCTGTGCACTTCATAAGGAAAAAGAAAGGCTGATCGAGCTGTCTTCTGATGTCACTATTGCATCCAGAAATAAAATTAAATCACTGTCTGAAGTTTTGAATATCACTTTCAGGAAAAAAAAGAAAGGAATATCTACCTCTGAGTCACAGAGCTATCGGACTGTCATTTTTTGTAACCCCCTGAAATGATGTCAATAATAAT